GATTTGTTGATTCTTTGGCATATTCTGGATGTGTTAAAGTATTGCAATACCTTGTTCCACTCTGTGATTTGTCTTTTCATACTGTAAATATAGTATCTTTTGATAAACACTAGTTCCTATTTTGTTTTCTACTTTTTTTTTTTACAAACAGTACAGTGTTTTTTTATTATTGTATGCAGAACGTTAAAAATTTTTTAACAAATAAATTATTTTTCAAAGAATTTCACACATCATGGTTTCTTTCACTATTTTTTTTTTTGATACAGTCATGCTTTGTCCCCAGGCTAGAATGCCAGTAGCACGATCATAGCTCACTGTAACCTCAAACTTCTTTGCTCAAGCGATCCCCCCACCTTACTCTCTTGAGTAGCTGGGACTACGGTCGTATGGCATCACATCTGGCTAAACTTTATTTTTTTTAGAGAGGGGGGTCTCACTATGTTGCCCAGCTAGTCTTGAATGCCTGGCCTCAAGTGGCCCTTTTGCCCCAGCCTCCAAAAGTGCTGGGATTACAGGTATAAGCCACTGTGTCCGACTGAGTTCCTACTTTTAATATCTAATTTATGTATCTTGCTGTGTCCTCTTAAAGAAATTTTGCCTATACCAAGGCCATGAAGATATTCTCCTTGAACTTCAAACGCTTTTTGTTTTATTTTATTTATTTAGAGTTAGGGTTTCTGTTGTCCACATTTTGTTATGTTCTGCATTTTTTTCTTAACCTTATCATAATTTAGGAAAGATATTATGGTTACATTAAATATTATTTATCATATTGTATATGCTTATATATACATATTATATGTAAGTAAACAAAAACATATTTCCAAGAGAGTGAGAACCTTTGAATTTATTCTGATAACTTGGTATGTGTTTGTAATGTCTACCTTTTTGAATTTAATGAGGAAAATAGTGACTCCTTATTTTGCTTTATTGTTTCTAGCTATTCTCAAAAGAAAGTGAAATCACATTGTGTATATTACTTTGTAACTTTTCTTTTAATATAGTATGAGCATTTCCTTATGTACCTTTATTTATATTTTTAAGTTTTGTGTATTTTAAAATCTATGCACATAGCATGAAGTTCAAAGGGAGGAAAAGAGTTTAGAGAATCTGTGAAGCAGTGTTTGTTGTGTTTCTTTTCAGGGCTACTTTTTTCATAAACAAGCATATATACATATATGTACACTTTTTTCACAAAAATGGTCTTGTGTCTTTTCATTCAATATGTCTTAGAGATGACTCATATCAGTATATTAAAAACCTTATCAATTATAAGGCTACAGAGTGTTCTGATATATGGATGTGCCATAATTTGTTTAACCTATCCAGTGTTTGTAGACATTTAAGTTGACTTAGAATACTTTTAAATAGAAACTGTATTATTGAAATTTATTTCTTGTTTTTAACTTACAGATTTTTGTATTGTATTCTTTTCACATTCCCCTCCTTTGAGACATGCTTTTGTCTTCATAGTGAGGGATGAGTCAGGTTGATGATTGCTAAAGTCTTATAGGACACACACAGACACTTTAAATAAATGATAATAGTTTGATTCTGGGTTTCAGCACCCCCCCAAAAATGATGAACTCACTTATTTGGGGGAGTTATTTTGGGGGATAGAGGTGCAGGGGTGGGGGGGTTAGGCATGGGAAATGATTTTTAAGGAATCCTGAGATTGATGGTTCCAACAACTAGAAATTTATTTAAAATGTGAAATATAAGAACATAAAAAATGCAGAAGATATATAAAAGTATTGCTTAAGGGGCTGGGTGCAGTGGTTCATGCCTGTTATCTGAGCACTTTGGGAGGCTGAGGAGGGAGGACTGCTAGAGCCCAGTGTTTGAGACCAGCCTGGGTAACATAGTGAGACCTTGTCTCTCCAAAAAAAAAGAGCCAGGAGTGGTGGCACGGGCCTGAATTTCAGCTACTTGGGAGCTGAGGCGGAAGGAAGCTGCAATGAGCCGTAATCATGCCACTGTACTCCAGTTGGGCAGCAGGCTGAGCCAACAGCCTGGGCAACAGAGTGAGACCCCGCGACTCAAAGAAAAAAAATAGTAGTGCTTAAGGGATTGTAAGTGAACATCTATGTGACTCCCATTCACGTCAAGAAATAGAACTTTGCCAACATCTGTGCGCCTCTTACCATCCACAGCTCCCTACCATGCCCCTAGTGGTAGTCACTACTATCCTGATCATTATGGCTTTCACTTTTATTCTCTTTGTAGTTTTTTTTAACCTGATCATGTATTCCTAAGTAATATTGTAAAGTTGTGCTTTTTTGGGGGAAACTTTTCTCCTCAAGTTTTTAGATGTCTGAAATTTTGTATCCCTAGGAGCAGTCTTGAAGAGAAGTCAGAAAGGGTGTGTGGGAGGTCAATGGGCAAGGAATTCTACACATCTTGGCTTAATGAAGTTTAAACTTGGCTGTTACTGTTGTCAGGTGAACTTGAGATCTTTTTCATACCAGGTGATGGAGCTATATCTTCACTGTTGCCAGGGCTCTGGAACTAGCTCTGAGTCTGGTCTTTTAAGTGCTGCTTCTAAAGCACCTATTTGCTGTGAGCAAGGGTGGTCCTGCCTGCAGTTCTCCTTATGCCCATTCTCTTCTTCTGTTCCTGCTGGGCATATCTGACTGTGTTCCTGCTTAAGAACCTCTGTTGATTGCAATATACATATTGCAGTATGTAAAAAAAAAAAAAGCAAATCAAGTGCTTTCTTTTTTTGTGCAGAGTACCTTAAATTTTTGTAAACCTAACTAGAAAGTGGTATTGTGGTAGAGAGTGTACCTGATTTCAAAGACAGAATGTTCTATAGAAAAAGACCATAGAATTTCTAGTTAACTCCATATAGTTCAGTTACTTTCCCTCTTCCTTTCCTCCTTCTCCTCTCTCCCTTCTCTTCTCTCCCTTCCTCTTCCCCTCTTTCTCTTTGTCTCTTTCTCCCCTCTTTCCTCTTCTCCCCCCTCCTCCTTCTTCTCCCCCCTCCTCCTTCTTCTCCCCCCTCCCCCGCTTTAGAGATGGAGTCTTGCTCTCATCACCCGGGCTGGAATGCAGTGGCATGATCATAGCTCACTGTAGTCTTGGGCTCAGGCGGTTCTCTTTCCTCAGCCTCCTTCTTAGCTGGAACTATAGGCACGCACTACCATGCCTGGCTGAAAAAAACAAACAAACTTTTTTTGGAGGCATGGTTTTGCTATGTTGCCCAGGCAGTCTCAAACTCATGGACTCAAGCAATCCTCCAGTCTCAGCCTCCCCGAGTGCTGGAATTACAGTTGTGAACCACTGTACCTGACCTGGCTTGTTTTTGTAACAACCCACTCTTGAGATACTGAACCCACTCCTATGATAACAACATTAATCTACTTATGAGGGCAGAGACCCTCTTAATTGTTTCATCTCTTAATACCATCACATTGGGAATTAAATTTCAGCATGAGTTTTGGAGGAGACATTAAATCATAGCAAATGGGAACGACACTCTGTGCCTCAGGGTATGAGGATTAAATAAAAGAATATATGGTGTAAAGTAAGTGTTCAATACGCAGCAGCTATTATTAGCCTTATTTGTTTCAGGATTCAGTGGAGTTTTAATCTGATTTGTAGCCCAGTGCTCTTTGTACAGATTGCAGAATCTGCTATGACAGGAGTTATGAGACAGTGTTAAGTAACAGACTAGGTGGATGGGAATTGCTTAGTTGATCCTCTCGGCCTTTGGGATCAGTTTAGGTGACTGCTGGAGTCTGTGTCTGCAAACTCTGCAGGAGAGTTTTTACAGGAGAGGGAACCGTCTAAAAGTGTCAGGCAGTCACAGGGCAGAAGAGTTGGCCTTTCCCTCCTTGTTTGTGGACAGGAGATTTAAAATTAAAGGGTGTGTGTGTGTGTGTGTGTGTGTGTGTGTGTGTGCATGTGCGCGTGCAAGATCAGCTCAGGGAAAGGCCAGAGGACATACGGACATATTCTCCTGTCTGAGACTTCACTTTTCCTTCTGTAATTTCACATTTAAATCTATTCTTTCTTCTTTCCCTTTTTTCCATCCTCCCCTTTTTTCTTTTAAATAATGTCCAGCTTTTATATTTTAGATAGCAATCTGTTCACAAAAGGAATTGAAGTAAATTTGAACATAAAAATGTAAATATTCTAAAATTAAACTTATATAAAATCCTATCATTGAGAGAAACCCATTTATTCACATTTGGTCTTTTTTTCTTCCAGTCTTTTTTCATGTATTAAAAAAAAAGTGGCAGTAATGCTGTACATTCAAGCACTTTCTTTTCTTTTTTTATAAATTCATAGTGTCACTCTGTTGCCTGAGCTGGAGAGCAGTGGCTGCCATTACAACATACCACAGCCTCAACCTCCTGGGATTAGGCAAAACTTCTGCCTCATCCTCCCAAGTGCTGGGACTACAGGTTCACACTACTATGCCCAGCTAATAGGAAGTCTAAAACCCCTGGGCTCAAACAATCCTCCCGCCTCAGCTCCTAAAGTGCTGAGATTATAGGCATTAGCCACCATGCCCGACCTTCAAGCACCTTCTTAACAGTAATTAAAAAAACAAAAATACTGAACTAGTCAGATAGTTATAGATTAGTAAAACAGTAAAGGAAGGGAAAAAGTACACTGTTGAAAGACATAGTGATCTTTTACTTGCTGTTTCTGAGACTGAAGGGTGGCCCTCAATTTAATCTCCTATGGAGCAGGGAAGAAGCTGACTTGAAAACCTTCCCCTACTTTCCACTGTTTCTCCCTTATTTGGCACGCCTCCTGAGTTCAGAAGATCTGTCTTTTGTGGGCTTTATGCTGCTGAAATTAGCATCCCATTAGATTGCTGGTAGAGCTGCTACTTTTTGTGTAATGTGAAAGCTGAATCGTCCTTAGTTCTACAAACATATACATATATGTCAGCCACTGCTTTTCAACTGCCTTAGATTCCTCAACCTGCGTGAACCCACTGGATTCCTGAGGAAAGTTAGGTGTGATGCTGGAAGTAACCTGTCTTCTACCTGCAGTACCTGGATCAGATGTGTTCTCTGGAAATAGTGACCTAATGTGAAGCCAGCCTATTTTCTTTTCTCTTTTCCTCACAGATTTTGAAGCCAGCTTCATTAGATTATTGGACAAAATAACTAATGGTTCTCGAATAGAAATAAATCAAACCGGTAAGTGCCTTTCTTTCCTTTTGTGAAAGCACCTATAAGCACTACTTAAACATTCCTGTTTCTCACTCTTTAATGGTATAAATATTGTGTTCAAAATATTACTAATCACTTTGTGTTATATAAGCCACTACTTTTGAATTTTTTAAATTGAGGTTTTACTCTGTTGCCCAGGCTGGAGTATAGTGGCATGTTCGTGGCACACTGCATCCTCAACCTCCTGGGCTTGGGTGATCCTTCTGCCTCAGCCTCCCAAGTGGCTGGGACTACAGGTGTGCACCACCATGCCTGGCTAATTTTTTGGTTTTTTTTGTAGAGATGAGGTCTTATGTTATCCAGGCTGGTCTTGAATTATTGGAGTCAAATGATCCTCCTGCCTCCGCCTCCCAAAGTATTGGGATTATAGGCATGAGCTACTGTGCTTGGTGTAAGCCATTATGAAATTATAATCTCTGGAGGGGGTACCTTTTGGAGTTATATGAGGAAGCTATGAGTAGAGATGATAATAAATGCTTATAATTCTGGATAATTAAAAAAATACTGTTTTAGATGAAAAGACCCGTTACTTGTTTGTGTTATGATTGTCTAGAGATGAACATGAAATTTCCCAATTTAAGGGGCATACATTTGATTTAAGGAAGTAAAAGAACTGAAAATTTGAGATCAACAAGCAAGCACCTACTCTCTTTTTTTTAAACAATACTTAACATTTACATTCCAAAGTTCGTTTACTTATATCATCACATTAAATTCTTACAGCAGACTCTGTGAGGTAATTTATTTGCTGAATTCTATTTTTAAAAATATTTTGTCTCTTAAAATAAGTTTATACATCATGTGAAAATCCCTTCACCTGTTTACTCTTCTATTCCCCTCCCTAGGGATAGCCACTGTCATAACATTTGCTTACATGGCCACTTCTGTAATTTACACGATTAACAGGATCGTATTCTTCATGTAGTTCTTCTTCATGTGGTTTTTTTTTTCTCTAACATATATGTCTTGGAGAACTTTCCCTGCTAGCACATGCAGGTCTTCCTCAATATTTTTATGGGCTGTAGTATAGTATTCCATTGTGTGGATGTGTGATAATTTAGGTTATTTCTAGGTCCTTCTTTTTTCTGTTAGAAACTTGTATCTATATTGTATAGGAGGCTATAGAACTCCTGTTTAGCCAAACTCCTGTTTGGTCAACTCCATCAATTCTGTACCTTTTCACACATATTTCACAAAAGAATCTCTGACCTTTCCCATAATTTGACTTTCTTAAGGCAAGCTTGGGTTCACACATGGTTCTGTGTCACATGAGATATCTGATCTATAGCTGTGTTCAGCATACTTATGGAGAACAGGTTTCAGGATGAGGTGTGTCCACACGCCCTTTGCCAGCTGTGATCCCCTTAGTCTTACTAGGCTTGTTTACTCTGATATTGCTGAAGATTATTTCATCAACTTTTCTTAATGATTCAGAGGACAGATACATTTATTCTTTGGTAGTCATACCTGCAGTGCAGGTGGAGGGGTAAAACAGTTACATTATTCTGCTCTCACCATATCCTTTTTTTCCCCATGAGAGTAGAAGTCTTTATTCTGCTGATCTGATCAGTTTCTCATTTGGCTAATTTGTAGTCATAAACAGATTTGAAGGATTTAGTGGTTATATAGTTTTTGGGGCTCTTTTACCTAAAGGATGGTTTTGTGACTCTTAGAGTGACTCAGAATCTGTCCCTTTGGGAAGTGTTACTCGCTTTAATCAGATTATGATCCTGATTCTGATTGTTTGGGTTTTGGTTTTTAATATAGTAAAACCTATATTTATTTTATGAAACTCTGAACACCTTTTTCCCATTTGAGTGGCTGAACATGTCTCCTTCCTCTAATGTTAAATTTATTTTTGGTAAATTGTACTAGAAGACAAGACATTGCTAGAGGATTTTGAGTAGCAGAAATACCTTGTTCAGCCATTTATATCCCTCTAAATCTTCTAGGGTATTTTACATGGATTTTCCTCTGATATGTAAATCCTGTAAGAAACTTTTTGGATGACATGAATATGTGAAAAAGTAAACAAAGATAATAGATCCTGCTAAAACCATAAAATAATTTTAGACATTTTCACATTTTTCAGTATTAAGTTAAAAGAGCTACTGTTAATAGCATGGCATGCTATAAAGTACTTGCCTTTTTTAAAAGTTATCATGTTTGATGAGTGAGGTATATGAGACATCTCATTTCAAGGAGTCTGGAGGCTGCCGGTTGCTGGTGTGATGATTTAAACATATCACTTGTAAATACCCCCCTACAGTTAGCCCATTGTGAGAGTGGGAAACTAGGGTGCTTATTAGGATATCTCCTCTGTGCCCTACCATGACTGTAGTAATTCACATGGCTTAGGGAGGGGCTTAATTTATTAGTTTATTAAATTACACTCACAGTTTATTATCGTTACAGCGACTTGACAGTAGTGAGTCAGCTTTTGGAGTGAAATATGGGCTCTTAGCTATGACATTTCAGATTCCCTTGGATGCCCTTGTCAGACTTTCCCCTTGGGACTTAACTGCCTTCATTACCTTTGTGACACTTAGTTTTTTTCCTGCTGAAAATGGCTCTTTTTTCTTTGGTTTAAGGAACAACTTTATATTATCAGCCTGGCCTTCTGTATGGTGGATTTGTGGAGCATGATTGTAGTGTCCTTCGCAGCATTGGCTACTATCTGGAGAGTCTTCTTTGCCTGGCTCCGTTTATGAAGCACCCGTTAAAAATAGTTCTGCGAGGAGTGACTAATGATCAGGTTGACCCTTCGGTGAGTATTGAGGACAAACCATGGTGTGATTTTTGTTTTGTCTCTTGTCACAACCCAACTTCTGAGAAGAGAGTTCCTTATAAAGCAGTTTTATTTTCAAGGGCATTTTTTTTGCTATTTACCTCGAGACATAGAGGTTAATCACTCCAGGAGGCAGGTGAACCAAGACTTGTAATCATCAGACTCAGGATGATTGTTAGCAGTTACCAAGGTGTTTTTCATTGTTGTATCTAAGACCCTTCAAGGCAGATGCTTGCAGTCTCATCCTGGTTGACATGAAATATAGCTCTCTTGGCTGAAGTATGTGAGAGTGAAGTTTTTGTAAGATCATGCATAGCTAAGGCTGGAGGGCTGCAGACCAAATTTTAAGGCAGGAAATTGTATCTCCTTGACATTGCCTCAGCATAACCTTGACTTATCCAGGCTTCAACCATAAACTTAAGGACTTTCTTCTTGTGAGGAGTTTGCAGTTTTAGAAAAAGGGCATAAAGGCAGCTTTGATAGTTTATGGGTAATAGCGTGCTTCTTATTAAGCATGCTAATTTGTCTGCAGATATGAGGAAAATGGTTTAATATCAAGCTAAAATTTTCATTGAGATAACCACAACTGTCAGTCTATATAGATATTTGTGTGTGCATGTGCGTGCACGTGCGTTGGGGGGGAGGGAGAAGCCTTTTCCAGGCCTTAGTTCTCTTGTAAGGAGGGATGATTCCTCACTTTTGCATTTATGCTGTCCAGAGAAGGTGTCTTACAGCTGATGTCTGTGATGTGGAAGTGCTGACTGTGGAGCCATGCTTATCTTTAACGCTGCAAACATAGGCCAAGACCAATGAATGGGCAGCTTCTGAGGCAGAATGTGAAGTGTATAGCTTTCCTAACCAAGGAGTACCAATTAGGTGGTGCAGTGAGTCCCAAAATGGATACTGCTGGTATTTACCAATATATCTACTAGGGTATAAACATGGTTAATGTATTCTTAGGCAGTAAAAGACTTATTCCTCATTTCTTGGAAATTCAGCTACATAAACTCTTTTCCTAGGATAGTGAATATTGAAGTACAAGATCTGAAATTAGGTTGTAAAGGAATGTTGTATAAGCAGTTTAGAATTTTTAATTTATGTAATTGCTTTTTTCCTGCATTTTCTGGAAGAGTCTAGGAAATGGGCCATTTGGTTAAAAGTGTGAGAGAAGGCATCAATGCATTTAGATTAGAAGATGGTGGAGGTATGTCAAACAATGGGGAATGGCCCTGAAGTGTATAGGGGACTCTAATAGTGTGTGTCTCAGTTTTGCATTCTTTCTAAACTTGCTAATGATCTTAAACCTTTTCTCACTGGCAAGTTTAAAAAAATATTAACAGTGACAAAGATCAGTTGAGGAATCCCCCAGAAATGGTACTTTAAAATCTGTTTTTATATGCTGCAAAATGACCTGCTTTTGCCAGCTGTGTGACTAAAATGACTTTAGCTGGTATCTGGGCTTCAGCCCAGGGTAAAATAAATATACCTAATCCTGGATAAAGAGTAACTTTTTCTGTCTGTTTCATGGTTTCTTCATTCCTGGCTCCTTCTTCTTCTGTGTGATTTCCTCATTAGTTCATATCTGCATCTACTTTCTGCATACAGGGATGACATTAGTGATTCTGCCCTTAAAGAACGCCTTTAAGGAGTTACGGGATGGATGAGCTGGACCCATCTAGGGAGATTACAAGGCTGAATACCCTTGGGCTCTGATAGAGGTACAAGCAAAGTACTAAGTGTCAGGGAGGGAAAACCAGAGTCCATCTGGGTTTTAGGAAGATAACTCTGGAGGTTGAGTGAAAAGTGAATTGGAGAGGTGATAGACTAGTTGGACATTATTGAGATGGAAGAGGAAAGGAAGGGGCAGATATGAAGGAACGATATTCCATAACTTGACAACTAAATGGAAGTGAAATGGAAAGAAGGGGTCATAAATGACTCCATGATTTCTGTCCTGGTTGACTTAAAGAATAATAGTTAGAACGAATTTGACACAGAAAAATAGGAAAATTACAGTAGAATAATGGGCGATACTTTTGATTTTGATCCTTTCTCCTGGGATATTTGCAGCATAACCACATGATAATGTCCAGTTGGCAGTTAGAAATTATGTCTGGAGCCTCAGAGACAGGTCATCAGGATCTTGCCTACTGATAATTAAATACCCAGGAGTATGAGATTGATCAGAGCTGAGGTTGAACACTGGCGACTTTTTGGCTGAATTCACCCTACAGCTATTTTTCCTTTGATCTGTACAGTGTGGTGGTGGTGATGGTTGTTGTTGTCAGGGTATGTGTGTACTTGAGTTGGTTGTTTATGTCTGAAACCCCAGATTTTATATTATAACAGGGCGATGTAACATTACCGAATGGCTATTCCTCCTTGACAACCATCAGTTGGAGCTGAGTAGCAGCTGCCCTCTTTGGATAATGTATTAGTGGTCCAGCTGGAAGCAGGTCACAGCTAACCTCGTCATTCATTTAAGTTTCCTTTCTGGCCTATGTGGGCATTAGAGATTGTGCCCCATGGTCCAAGGTACTGAGAATAGTAAAAGGGGAAATGAGTGTCTTAAGGTGTGAGTGGGTGAAGGGGAGCTAGAGACTGAGTGACTATGGAGATAGTATTTGGAGAAGCCAAGCAGACATCGAGTTCTAAAAAGCTGGGGATAATCCACAGAATCACTCTTTGCAGGAGTTGAGTCAGGATTGGGCAGTGAGAAGTTTAATTGACCTTTGAGAGAGCATTGTCATTGGAGGGTAAGGACAAGCACAGACTGAGGGATAAGTAGGAATTAGAGCTATGGAAAGTTGGAGAATTCTTCCAGAAGGTTAAGGACTGAGGTTAAGAATTTGTTTTAGAAACTAGGAGAAACTTGAGCTTGCTTGTAGGCCGAAGAGGAACTGTAATAGAAAAGGAAAGAATTAAAATAAAAGGACTGAGGCCCTTGCAGTAATCCAGAGGAGATAAGGATTGAAACCAAGTAATGGGATGAACCTTATAAAGGGGTAGGGACATTATTTTCTTAGAGACAAGAGGATAGGAACAATTAGAAATTTTGAGAGAATCTCTGTGTCATCAGAGTCCCTAGTAAATATTTATTGGTACCTACAAGCTGGTCCATTGGTTGTTGCAGAGTCCATTCTTTTCCTTTTCCCTTCTGGAAAGTGAAAAGAAGTCCAGTAATGCCTACCACATGCTTGGCATTGTTCAAGATGTATATATGTGTGTACATGTATATCCATATTTATTTAATTCTTCCACCAACCCAATAAGTGGGTGTTCTTATCACTGTTTTAGACTAGGTAACTGGAGAGGATCAATCTATTTGGTGTGGATCAGTCACATTTCTACCTGTTGATCAATTGACTGCACTGTGAAGGTAATGCCTGCCCTGAGGTGCCTCTTGGTTTGGATCTTTGCCTTTTCTCCCTGACCACGGAGTGACTGCTCAGTTTGGCAGAACTTGCAGACCACCCTCACTCTACTAAAACTAGAGTGTATGGAACTGCAGGAAACTGTAAAGTCCAGTCCAGCCTCTTATTTTATACAGGAGGAAACTGAGGCCTGGGAGACAAGACAGCATTCAGGGTCTCACAGCCAGTGGGAGGCAGGTTGCGTCTCAAGCCCTCATCTGCTTTTCTACTTCTTGTCCTGCTGCATTGAGTTGGCTGCCTTCCATGTCAGGTAGACAGTGATTAGGAGATAGGCCTATACTTGAAATTATACTTAGACTTCTGATTGATCTTCTAATTAAATTTGGCTTCCTTTTTTGTAACTCAAGATATAAGAAGGACGAGCCAGAATGCATACTCTATTTTCTTGCCTTTCTTTTCCCCAGGAGATCTGGTGGCTATCTAGTTCCCAAGTAACCTGTGTCCTTGCATCCCCTCTTTTTTAGAATCTGAGTTGACCTTCTCCCCAGCTGCCCTTAATTCTAGCCTAGACTGACTTCTTCTTGGTTCTGGCAATCCCAAATGCATATATTAAGGCTTAAGGTATTTTAGGTTTAATATTTAATTAAAATTAGCTAATCATTAATGAGTTTTTCTAGTTACTGCCTCTGCCCCACCTGATCCATTCTGAACATGTTCTTAGGCTTAATAGGTGTTAATGAAAGATGCCAAACTTTGTAAAATATTTAAGAAGATTTATTCTGAGCCAAATGTGAGTGACCTAGGCCAGTAGCATTGTCCCAAGAGGACCTGAGAACATGTGCCCCACTGTGGTTGAATTGCAACTTGGTTGTGTACATCTTAGAAAGATGGTTTAAAAAAACACCATAAATCAACACATGTGAGGTTTATATTGGTTTGGTCCGAGAAGGTGGGACATCCCCAAGCTGGGGCTAGCAAGTCACAGGGCTTGCAGATCATAGATGGACTGAAAGATTTGCTCTGAGGAATTTTGAAATCAGTAAAGGAAATTCTGCATTGAGAGGAAGTTTCTTGATATGTAGATAAAGCCTCATAGGTGACTGAACTGAGAGAGATTAGGTAGCAAATGTCTAGCTTGCAGTTACATGATGTTATGCCAGAGTCAAGTTGGAAAGTAAGCTATATTATATAGGGTTAATAAAAAAAAAAATCTGAGGAGAATCCACAGGCCCCTTGGTTAGGGATTTGGCAAGAGAGGGGGGAAAAAAAGTCAGAGGGGAGAAAAAAAAGTCCTCATGGGTCATTTCTACCTATGGTAATTTTTTGAGATTACAATATGTAGCCTGTTGGAGTCAGTGACAACTTGGAGTCAGCCTGGCTTGAGCCCCTTACATTAGAGACAAGGAAATTCAGATAATTGTGCTTTTCCTGTCTGGGGCCATGGACCTAATTAGAGGCAGGGCTGACATCAGGACTAGGGCTTTTCCAACATGGTCTGCTCGTGCTCCCTGCCCTCTCTACTGATTGACAGGGTAAATCCTGCTGAGGCCAAGAAGGAAACATCTCTTGTTCCTTTGGAAACAAGTAAGGGAGTTCTTTTCTGTTCTATGTTGCAGTAGAGGCAACATTTGCTGACCTATTAGAGATACAGCGCATGATAATCTTTATACTCTATGAGGAATATACAAATAAGTAAGAAAGACCGCGGACTTCCTAGGAGCATTGAATGAGGAAGACATTTGTCAAAGTCTTGCCATTCACTGTGAATGTTATTGTAATTGCAGTTTGGGGTTTGTGCTGCTTCGTGTAGTTTGAGGTTATCATTCCCCCCTGCCCCTACTCCCATGTAGAATCACCATTGTCCCTTTAGTTGCCTGTGTGTACATTATCAGGATTCTTAGACAGGCCGTTGGTCAGTTCATTTGGTTTGCTATGATTTGGAATGCTGCCAGCTCTAACATTAAACAACTAGTGGATAAAGATTCATAAAAAAGGCTTTCTTCTATGGGGTTTATACCTATAAGAATGAGTTGGGGTCCCTGTTTGCTTTCCAAGTGAGTCTAGCATTTTGCATGATACATCTGATGCTTACAATGACTGTCAAGTAGGTGTAGGCCCCCTTGTGAGGAAAGTGGGTCTTAGAGAAGCCCAGTGGACTTGTAAAGTTGCAGTCTTACTGCAGCTGGTCAGAGCCAGTTCACACCCTCAGTTGTAAGCCAACATCCTTAACTATACTATGTCATCTACCTGGCTCCTAAGCCTCACCTGTTTCTTGGGCTTGCTCTTCTATCTGTCCATGGTTTAATTAACTTTTTTTTTTCTGAAATAATTTCATAGGTTGATGTTCTTAAGGCAACAGCACTCCCTCTATTGAAACAGTTTGGGATTGATGGTGAATCATTTGAGCTAAAGGTAAGAGTATATGAGTTGTTGACTGTGTGTATCTGTGTAAAACATTTATCTTACTGACTCACTGGAAGAGCTATGTGACTCTGTAAGTATATGTCACATCTCAAGTCAACTATATTTCAAAAGACTCACAGGGCCCGTGAACCATACACTATGGACTTTTACCTGAAAAGAGATCCTTTAGTAATGACAGTAGTAGCTAGCAGTTATGTTGCACTTATTTTGTGGTAGGGACTGTTGTACGCATTTTACATATATTTTACACATCTTTTCTCCTCACAACAGCTCCATGACTTCCCTCAGCTAATAAATAGTGGAGGTTAGATCTTAGTGATCTAGAGAAAATTTATGTTCAGGAGCTCCCAACATGGATGTTCTTGAGAATTTTCAGTATTTCCAAAACCTAGTAGAAATAATTTAAGCATCTGTTTGTTATTCAAAGGAATTATATCACTCCAGTGTGGTAAGCTGTTTAGCGTCTGCCTTTTAAATTAATGTTTTTAAACAGGGGAAATGATTTCATTTTTATAATGTAGAGTTTTGATAGATCAGTTATTTGCATGGGAGGAGAAAAAAGAGTTCCTGGTGGTTAAGAAATGGGATCAGTTGATGAACTAGGTCAGCTCCTCATTTTAAGGATGAAGAAACAGGTCCTGGTGGTGAAGTGACCTGCTCAGGGTACATAGATGAGTGGCAGAGTCACCTGGGTAATCTACTTTGATTTTGACTTGGTCATGTTGCTAAGCACGTGCCATCTTGGAGCTAATATAAGGTGCTGTTGGCCTTGAAGGGATTGACAAGATGAATATGAAAGAGCTATCTATCTTGCGAGGAACAGCCTGTTGGTGTAAACTTTCCTGGTTGGATGTCAGGGCAGTCCATTACTTTGCTGCATCCTCGCCTCATCTTTTTCACCCATGTGCAGATTGTGCGGCGGGGAATGCCTCCTGGAGGGGGCGGTGAAGTGGTTTTCTCATGTCCTGTAAGGAAGGTCTTGAAGCCCATTCAGCTCACAGATCCAGGAAAAATCAAGCGTATCAGAGGAATGGCGTATCCTTTGCATTTGGTTTAGATTTTTTTCCTTGCCTCACTAAGATAAGAATGACTAAGAGCTTTACTTCTTTTTGAGGTTATTTACATTTTAGACTATAATTTTGGAAAAAGCCTTAATAGTGAAGTCATAATTGTTGGCTGAGATATAATGTTTTATTTTCTGCCTCATCATGACTAAATTGATTGAGTCATTCTTTTTTTTCAGATACTATTTAAGCAAATAGCTTTTGTGTTTGTGATACTCTCCTGAGTACTTTGGTTTGAGGGCCATGAGTGTACTGCAGTCCCACCCTCAGAAGAGTTCGTCAACTGGTGGAGGGGTTAAATGTGCAAATACAGAATTCTAATATAATGTGCAAAATGATATAAAAGTATATGCAGTGGGTCGGGGGCTAGGAGTAGGGAGTAGCTAGTTTGGAGGCTGTAGGAGGGCTGGAATAATAATAGTGAAAAATATCTGCTATTTATTAAGTGCTTACTCTGCATCTCCTTCAATAGTCACATTACATACTTTACTTTTAAGCTTCAGAATGACTCTCTGAGTTCACTTTAGTCTCATTTTGTAGATGAGGAAACTGAGTCTTCAAATGCATGTCACACTGCTAATAATAATGCATGTCACACTAATAATGGCAGAGCTGGGACTGTGACTTGGGAGTCCAGGTGCTTAACCTCTGCTTTTCCCCACAGAAAGGAGCCTAGAGAAATAGAGGATTGTGAAGTGGAAAAAGAAAGGAGTGGTTCAGGAAGAAAAATGGGCCTGCATAGAGGTAGCAGGGCACAGTGGTTCTGGGGAGTGCAAGTAATGTGGTGTGGGTGGATTTCAGATTGGTCATTGTGGGCCATGAAGACAGGCAGGAGCCAGTGAAGAGCACAGAAGAGTAGTGTGGAAATTTAAGAGGCCACCAACACTTGAAAGCAAGTTAAGTAAGGAGGGAAGTCAGAGAGTTGGGAGGAAAATAAGGGAAACATAGCTTCCTGGAAGTCCAGGTTGGTACCTTAAAGGACACTGAGGAATCAGCATTGGGGGTTGGGGGGCGAAGCTGAGGGACTCAGCAGCAGGCTGCCACTGATGAGCTCTTACCAGAGAGTGATGGGTACCGAGTCCCGGTGACCATTCTGGGCCATAGAGTGAATGGTTGGGAAATGGTGGCATGTGGGGGGCCACTGTTTCCAGATTCTTGACAGAAAAGAGGAGAAAGAAAGATGAGGTGGTAACTTGATGAAGAGAGAGTGAGGAAGACTCTCTACCTCTTAAAAGGTTGGTAACTATTTGAGTGTTTTTGGAGGTTGTTTAAAGTAGATTTAAGTAGGGGAAGAGAGACTGATGAAGCAAGATGTGGTGGTAATTAAAAGCCCAGATGCTTCAGATGAGTTCTGACACTGACTCTGCCACTCACCAATGGGTGTTGGCCCCATGCCTTGGTTGCCTCATGTACCACTGGGCCTGTTACCCCTACTGCATGGGGCTGTAATGCAGGTTAAATGAGGAAGGAGATAGTGGTGTGTAAGCATTTGGCAAATGGTGGCTGCTGTTCTTTTTATTCTTAGTTTAGAGGGATGGCTTCAGGTCCATAGGTGTATGGTAAAGATAGTTTCAGGGAGAGCTGTGTGGAGGTGAGTAGAAGGGGGTTGGGGAGAGTTTTCAGTGTTTACTGAGTTGAGATGGAATTGAAGATAAAAGGATGGGTGGGAGGGGGATAAGGGGGTGTAAAGAAGTAAAGGATGGTAAAGAAGTGCTGTCACTGTAGGGTGTGGTGACAAGATGAGAATAAGGCTGTGGAATAGCAGTGAGGGCTCAGACGAAGGTGAAAAGCAACAGTGCCAGCTGCACTGCTGTGTGATTGTGTCCAATGGCAGTTAGTGCCTAGAGGAAGGAGTAGAGAAGGCAGGGGGTCCGTCCTTATCCAGGGATGGATATGGGTTGACAGCGTGGGTGGGTCCTACTGGAGGACAGGTTGGAGGACCTTGGAATATTGGTGAGCATGTCACTGAAGTGATAGCCAGTGTGTTCCTCACTGAGTAGGGTAGCAAGAACTTAACAGCCCAGACAGAGTAGGTCAAGGGATTGGAAACCTTGACAGGTTTAAAGATCAGGTCTAGTAGAAGAACAAAAGTGTGCTGTGTAGGACAAGAGATTATGTTTAGGGAGTTCTCTTTTGGGGTTTCAGATATCAAATGTGGCATAGTTTTAGGTGCTGACAAGATCTGGGTGGGGATATGTTGGAGGCCAGGGAGCTGGATGGGCTGGGCAGCGACTTTGCTGGTGGGAGTGTGGCAAGGGGGTGTCAACCAGGATGCCTGCCTCTCAGGTTGGGGTGGATGCTTAAGGTCAGGTTTTATATGTCTCAGGTTTGGAGATGGTCTTCCTTGGAGGAAAAGAGGTGTGGCGTGGGCTGACTTTTCAGAGGCCTTGATTTGCCTGAACCGTAATTGGTGAAGGAAGTAGAGTAGGGTGGGCTGCACAGCCCTGGGAAGGGAGTTAGGGTGGGCTGCTCAGCCATGGGGACAGAGTTAGGGTGAACTCTTAGGGAGAGAGTATAGTTGAGATAAAAGGTCGAACTTGGGTGTCATGTGAAGTTCTTTTGAGGATCATCAAGAGCAAAGAAATATATGATAAATCTTCCCCGGATTATGGCCTGTTCTCTGTGTGGCTGTTCTGGGGCCCACCTAAGGGTCATCCTTTGTATGTGCTGGGAGAGAGTGGGCAGGAGGAGAAATGGCTCCTGTTCTGGGAGTCCCCGGCTTGATGGATAGTTAAATTGACCGTCACCTAAGGTGATGTTTAGCTAATGTTCTTCATTTCTGAGGAGCTGGACCATGGTTAATGAGATGGTAATAAAGAAATGAAAGTACAGTGAAACTAGGAGTGTGTGTGTGTGTGTGTGTGTGTGTGTGTGTGGTGTGTTAAACCAAATGTGCCTTTTCTATTTGATCTATGTCAGTTATTTAAAGATTGATGGTCATTTTTATTAACAGTTAACAGGTACCTTCCATTTCACCATATAAAGAACTCAATATCAAATCCTACTGATGGCCACTGAGTTGTTTTTTGTTTTTCACTGTTGCCAAAAAATGCTGCAGTTAATGAAATCCTATATACTTTCAGGACTGTTTTAGGTTTTCTTTTCCTTCTCACTTGAGATGTGTTTCCTTAATGCTGTGTTGCAGCAGTGATTTCTGCCTGGAATCCAGTCACTATAGTCTGAAAATGTGATTTCTGGCAGTGTGCTTTTAGTCCTGACATAATCTTGTCATAACAACATGGGGTTTCATGGAGACCATCATGATGGGATTCCTCCACACTCGTGGTCATATTCATGCCTCATGAGTGGCCCTTTGATGATGATGATGCTGAGAAATGGGGAAGGGTTTTACAGAGGACAACATAAAAGCTAAGAGAGCTGTGGTGCCCGGGCACCTTGGGTATAACTTTCTTCCTCCCTGGTTTCTCCCTCATGTTCTTTGAACCTTCCCTATGTTGAACCTGAGCCAGGAAAACACTTGTGAGGTCCCAAGTCCTAGAGGCAGGATATAGGACACCGAAGTCTTCAGCAGTATATCTCTGACTGGTAGAGGCTTCCTTCCACTCCCCAGGAAAGTTCACACAGTGCCCTTGCTCAGATCCCTGTCTATAAACCAAACATTCCAGCCACTGGTCTGCAGACCTGCCCACTTTAACAGACACCTCAAAGGAATGTGGGTTTGAATGGAGATCACCTTTGCTGGTTTGGATCCTGGGAATAAAAGAGTTGCCTTTGGAAAAAGCTTTAGTTGGTTTGGTGGATTTTTCATTGCAAGGCCGGTTGATTTTTGGCCTGAGATTGGAGGTTGCAGTTCTCATAGGAGAGCTTAAGTTAGGAGGACTAACCCCACTGTCTTGTGTGCATTTGTGGTTTTAACTGAGCTGTCTCCCAAATGGCATGTTCTCCCTCTTACATTCTACATGATGACCTCCCCGCCAGGGCCTGGGAGAGAGTGGTGTTGCTTCCTGCCAGCAGCTGTGACTAGACAGTAGTTACCTTTTATTTACTGCCACCCAGCCTGATTCTACCCACTCCCTGATGTGGGACGAGAGAGAAAGGAGCACTCTGTTTTAGTTTTGTGGTGCTGTCCCAATAGCTCATGATTTGGTACATAAGAGTCGAGTAAAGAAGCTGGGGTAGAAGCAGAAGATGGGTGAGCTGAAATTTGGGAATGATCTGGGTTCTTTTTCTTGACTATAGGAAAGGTACTTTGAAAATCTCTCGCTCTTGCCCTCGCTCTTACTCTCTCACTTGTTCTCACTCGCTCTCTCTCACTGTTTGTCACATACCACACATACACACCTCTTTGTTTTCTCTGACCTGGGACTCCAAGGAGGATGAAGGATGGGAGTACCATATGGACTGTAGCTATGAACTTGTCTCTCGGGTATTTTTTGTTCTTACTATGTTGCTCATAAATGGGCTTTAGGAAGTTCACAAACCCTTGAAATTTTCTGCAAAATTGTGATTGCACATATGTTTCTCAGGAGAGGGTTTGTAACGTTCCTCAGATTCTCAGGGGAATCTCTGATTCCTGAAAGGATGAGAGCATCTGCTTTGGGTGGGGTATGAATCTTGTACTAATAATAAGAAAAGCAACAGCTGGCATTTACTGGGCTGCTACTACACACCAGGCAGTAAATACTTTGCATGCATTTTGTTCCATTTGCACCTCCAAACCCTGTGAGGAGAGTAGTATGATTATTCTTTTACTCCTGAGGAAGTGGAGGCACAGAGAAGTTAGCAAGCACTCTTAACCATGAATGATGCGGTTTGAACTTGAAACAAATTGTCTGATTCTAGAATTTGGGCTCTTATCCATTCCTTAACTGGGCCTCCACACCAAGCAAGATGGATCCAAGTCTTTGGATGTATCTAGTTTTAAATCTTCTTTGTCTTCTTCATTTCACTGCCTGAATTATAGTATAGGCTTCCATTGGTCCTGATTTTATACTGTTGTCCTCCATGTTTCTGTATCTCTACAGAAGGAAGGAGGAGAGGAGGAAGACTTTCTTTGGGAGTAAGGTCTGTTTAAATTTGGACCAGTGTTTTAGTTGTCCTTAGTATAAGCCCTAAGCTAGAAATCGTGACTCTTGCCGTGGGGTTACTGTGAGCATAAAATACGTTGATTATGTATGTGAAAGAACTTTAGGAACCGTGAGCGCTGTGGGATTATGTGTTAGGATAGTGACATCTTCTGTGCTCTCCTGGGGAGAGTGGACAGCCACAGAGCTCAGAAAGACAGCATCCACTCGGTCCAAAGGGTATGAGACCTGTACTGTTTGTCTAAGCTGCCTGTGGTCAAAAGTACGTTCTGGACCAAAGGGGTGGTGATGTAACTAGGCTCTGTGTGTGTATTGAAACATCCCTCTTTGCTCTTTCCTCATTTTAGGTTTGTCCTTTGAGTCAAATCAAATATTTACTGAGCATTTCTGAGTACAAAAGTAGTGTATTAGGGAGTTGTGTGGGATACAGAATTAAAGCCCCTGCGCTTATGGAGTGTGCGGTCTTGTTGAGAAGCAAGAACAGAATGTGTGTACATGAAGGGAGCTGTATGGTAAGTTCAAGTGGAGACCACAGTTGGGCCTGGCCTGGGAAGTATCAGGAGAGAAAGGGAGCTGGGACTGGAAGAAGAGGAGAAAACTCAGACTGAAGACTTTGGATGGTGTGGAAGTGAAAGAGTTTGATGGTACAGAGTTGGGGATGGACACACTGAGCAGCCTGGGGGCTCTGACAGCAAGATTTAGGAAGGCCAGGAACCACTGGGTGACTCTTACCAGCGTGAGGAAGATTAATCTTTTAGTGGAGTGTTAAGGATGGATCAAAACAGGAGCTACATGTCAGATGAGGTTCCTTGCATGCTCTCTGAGCATTTTGTTTCTGCAGCTCACATGAAAATTAAATGTGTTATTGACAGTAATTCTTGAACTGTTGAGCTGGACTGGGCAGAGCACATGCCTTGTTTTACCTGTTGGACTTGCCACGTGGGGTTTGTATCAGAGAAGAAAGGAAGATCACTTGTTATTTCTCCATTTCTTTAGTCCTACATATACAGCCAGCTCTTGACCATACATTGCATATTGAATGTACTAGTACATACTTATTTTTTCTTTGACGTGTGGGGTTGGGGAGAGTGAGACTCTGTTATAAAGACTAATTTTAGGTAATAGTTTCCATATCCTTAAGCACCAGTCTTTTTACTTGAGTTAATAATATCTTTCTCCTTTCTTTTGTGGCATGCCCTGTAATGAGTGTTAATTATTGGTATTTTGACCAAAGGTAGCAGATGTGAAGAGGCTGTGCTGTCCACAAATGGAGTAATTAACTCTTAAATGATAGAGAAAACCTGTTTAAATCTTTATAAACAGCAACCACTATGTTCTTTCACTAAACTTTTTCTGAGTCTTCTGTCAGCATGCCAGGGGGTGTATTGGGATTGACCCAGATCAGCTGCATTGTGGTGTGTTTTGGCCTTAGATTCCTAAGAGTGACTCACTGATTACAGCAATAGGAATGGAGAGAGTCTATAAAGTGTTCTCAGGCGTTGTACTTCAAAGGGAGCCTGGATCATGACCTGCAGAAAGGCAGGTGTCTTTACGACTTCTGAGATTGAGTTGAAGTCAGGGGCGGGGTTGAGAAACTCTTACTTTGCACTTTCTGCTTTCTGTATTACTTTTTTCACCATGACTATTTAAACCTTTTATAATAATGAAAAAAGTTGAATTGTGGTATTATAAAGTTAAGTGATTAAACACAATTGGGAAACAATAGAATTGGAAGTCCCAGTTTATTATTACAGTTCTACAAATGTTTGCCAACTTTGGTTTTTTTTTTTTTTTGAGTTGGAGTCTCACTCTGTTGCCCAGACTGGAGTGCAGTGGCCGCTCCCGGCCACCGCAGCCTCGACCTGCTGGGCTCC